CAGACTTTAGACAGATAATGTGTTAGCGAATAATTTTTTAAAATAATGCACTATTTGTACTGTCTTTATAATTACTTATACTAAATTGACATTTATTTTAGGCAATTGAGCTATATTCATATTGAACTTTCTCTAGCCAAATTGACAGAAAATCATTTTTTCTAAGTTTGCCTATTTCACCCTACCTAAAATTTTAACAATTAAAATAATTGATTAAAATGATGCAACTATATAGTTTCCAATGTAATCTGTTAATGATCTAATTGCTTATGTTTTCAATTAAACTATCATTAAAATGGTATTGGATAGTGAGAATTAATTACTCTAAAGAATAATAATGTAATGTATTAATTTAGGTCTGCTCTTGTTAAGTAGCCTAATATAGGCTACTTGTAAAAAAATGTGGAGCAAAAAAAAAAAAACCACATCATTCACTGTTTGTGCTTATAGTAATAGCTGAGAAACGGGTTTGCAATAAAAAAAAATTGCCGGTATCCTTCCCCCCCCCCCCCCCCACAGACACACACACAACACGGTGAATGGGTCACTGTGAGGTCATAGTAGTCTAGACTTCAGTATGCCTGTTTAATACGTCATAACATGAACTGTGCTGTGACTTATACCCCTCTCCCACCCTCCTTACCAAGCAGTACCAACTACGCACTTGGGGTCACGGTGAGTTCACACAAGTGACCGATGTTACAAGGAGGGGCGGGGTAGTCTAACTTTAATCGTCAGCATTTGCAAAGATTTCAAAAACAGTTTAATGGAAGGTGGATTAAAATTAAAGGGGTCATCCATTTATGACGTCCACATGGAGGGGGGAAGGGGTCGGAAGAGTTTGTGATTACATTCTAAAACAAACATAAAACGTGTATCTTGCGAGTAGAAAGTAAAATTAAGACGACTGTGCTGGTGTTTTAAAAACCATCACAGCGTGTAAACAAAACACGGTATTTATATCTGCCCTAACGTTATTGTAAGAGCGTGTCGTCACACTTTATAAAACCCTCCTCCCGACTTTCCGGAGTGTGACGTCATTTATGGACGACTCCTAAATAAAAAATAGTACCTCTTTGGTAAGCTGAAGCAAACAGAAATACAGCTATGAACCAAAGGAGGCCTTGCGACTTATTCATCTTATAAATGCTAATATTAATCTAAAGTAAGTGAACGCGTGTGGACAGAGGGCGGGGGGGGGGGGGGGAGTGGGGAAAGGGGGAGGGAGGGGGTCTAAAATCCGAAAAATTGTTGTAAGTCATAAATGGATGACGCCTTACAGACTGATAAATTATATCTAAACTACCACTCACACATCTCCCCCATAATTTTTGTTATGACTGCCTGCAAGCAAACTCAAACGATGAAAAAATAGCGGGTAAAATCGAGAGCCTAACAATTCTGAGGGCGACATTCTTTCATTAAATGACAATTTTAAGTACTTGTAACACATTTACACGGGGTCAGTCGCGCCACAAAATATCTCTTCCCTCCCTTCCCCTCTTCTCCCAATGACGTAGTAACTGAGCAATCTTTTTTTTTTCTGCGAACCAGCGAAAAAACGCCACAACACAGTGTAAACCCGCGCGATAGCGCGGGGGAAAAAATTGGAGTAAATTCACTTAAAAATAGCAATTTTTGATATGGAAAATATGGACTACGAAGTTTTGTTTCTAAAACTAGATTCCAGACTTTTTCCAGACTTTTAAAAAATACAGCCCAAAAACTAGCGATTTTCCAGACTTTTTTAAGTCTTAAATTCACTTTTCTAAATTCAAGACTTTTTCCAGACTTTCCAGACTGCGTACGAACCCTGAATATCTTTCTGCTGTTTTAAACTAAATTACAGCATTTTGAAAATTAATAATGTAACTGCGCCTTTCTCTCTAAGATTCCTTGATCTATTTCTGACTCTTCTTCTTTTTCTTCGTTCTTAATTATTAGTGTTGAAGGGGATCGAGATTTATATGCCAGTGGGTTTGAACTCGAGACTTTGTTCGAATTTATCAACCATGAACTTTTTGCCGACTCGATCATCCAACACAATTAAGCGTTACGTGTCAACTGGTTATGCGACATTGAGGCCATTGACTCCGATTTCAGCCTGCTTTTCTTTTTGGATTTGCTTCCATAGGCTTTGTCTAACCAAGAACAAACTACAAGGCAGCAGTTGTTTAATTTTTGGAGTCCCCAGCTAACGAGCCTCATCTGCCCGAGGGTTCGAACTCGAGACTTTTCGGTTTAGCAACCATGAGCTTTACCGACTCGACCACGCCGACCCCTATCTATTTCTGACAATGATAAGGATTTTTATTTTCTAACTTGTAAAGTTTATCAAGCTGCAATTATAGAACAGTGTCGTGTTGTAACAAGCGGTTAATCCCCCTTACAAAGTAGTAACTTTTCTACTCGCTCTACATAAAAAAAAAACATCACCCCAGCACCGAAATGAGTCTGAAGCGAAATGTCTTATTGAAGACAACCCCGACAGATCACTTTTGACCTATGACATCACTATCATCAGCAGGTACCCGGACAAAAATAAACCGATGACAGTAGAGCCGATACCAACTGAGCGCCTGTTATGAATAAATGATAGTTTAATGAGGTCTAATCAATACCACTTGAAACATGACTTCTCTTGCATCCGGCAAGAATGCGATCAATGAAGCAGCACTTGTCATCCTAAAAACATTTCAATCAATGACAAATTTCTAAGACAAAACAGAATACGTGGAACATAAAGACAACTGATGGGATGTTTTTTAACTAATACAGCTGAATGATGGTTGCTTTTTCTTGTTTTCAGAAAACTATGCATACAAGATTGTGTATTAGTCTGAAGTCTTAAATCAACCAGAAGATAAAGCTCTTGTTAAGAGAAACAAAAACGAAACAGAATATTTCTCATGTCTAGTAAAAAAACAAATACAAATGACTGGATATATATATATATATATATATATATATATATATATATATATATAAATATATATATATATATATATATATATATATATATATATATATATATATATATATGGGTGTGTGTGCGTGTGTGTGTGTACGGTGCATAGAAGAACTATGGTTTTTGTTGGATACGTTTACCCATAGTTCTTCTAAAACACCCTTTAGATGTGTGCTGAGTGCGACATTTCTAATTTAGCTAACGTAGACCGTGCGACATTCTCACAAGCAAGTGTCAAAGGTCTTGATATATTGGTAACTTGTCATAGCCAGACTTTAAAAACTTGATAGGCGGTAACGGGGAGGGAGAGGGAGTGTGAAAAAAAAATGTATCTCGTCTATATTTGGGACAGTACAGATCGGGGAAAAGAACCACAAAGTCTGGTCAATGAAAACAAAATGGGAAAGTGGCTGGGCGGGAGAGGGGTGGGGGCAACATGAGAAGAAAACGCCACCGATATTTATATTACTTTTGCCCCGAAAAGGGGAAATAACGCCACCCTGCACAACATATAAGCTTTATAGTCGGGGATGTGAGCTCAATCTAGGGCCTTGTTTCCCTTCAGCTGTATCACGTGGGGCTTTTTTATGGACCAATCGTAAAGATGAAAACTCCGGATGTTGAGCTAAGAAATCAAATCAAATACAATGAAAGAGCCGTTACGATGACAACTTCCGGTTTTTTTATTCAACATGAAAAAATTGATTTTTTTTTTTAAAGAAATCACATTAAGAAATTGCTGGGTGGGTTATTTTTTTAAAATGGACCTTGTATCAAGCCTCCCGATATGACGTCACGACTTTATCACAATTTTTGCTGTAAGGATGAACTTACTGAACTTAGAGTTTACATATGTGCTTAAAAAAGAGTGGTAAAACTATCTGGAAATAGAGCTAGACATCCCCGCATTAACCTTGTATGACCTGTTGGCCCAGATACTAAGCTTAGATAAAAAAATATGACAACCTACCAATACTTTTCATTTCCGTTACAAATGTAGTCCCGACAGCTACCAATATTGTATTGAGAGAGCGAGGAGAGAGAGAGAGAAAGAGAGCTAAATTTGATATAGGTCCCATATGCGTTTTAGTTTTTAGCTCTAATTAAAAATACAAGGCAATACAACAGCGAGTTTAGTTTTGTCCCAAACTATCGGGCACCGCCATATCTCCTAAAACGGACCAGTGAAAATAAAACCTAACCTATTTGTGCTGAATTATATCAAAACTTTTTTTTTACAGTAACACCCCCCTTCCTGGACAGACCCCCTCCATTACCATACTTATTCCCGCATTCCGCCGACATGAAATATCATCAGCCGCAATAACCTTGTCTCTCTACGGTCGCAGCGCAAATAGAAAGAGACCGATTTCTAGCTCTATGGTTTCCAGCCACTAGGGAGTCTCAAGTTCTACACAGCCCAATAGCCAAGGTCAACAACAAGGGCTTTAAGGGATGATGACGAGAACTTCTTGTTTTAGGTTCAAACGGGGGGAGGGGGTGTTTTTTGTTTAAATAAACTAAACTTGAAACAAAAAAGTTTTTGTATAATACAGACCAAAGTGTTTAAGATATTGGAAGATAAAATATACTAAGAAATGGTAACCCTAAATAGAGTTTAGGAGAACCACTAACAATTGCTTCAAGAAACGCTGACCGTGTATAGGAAACTCGTGTTGCCAAAATACCAGTCTAAATGAGATTTTTTTTAAAGCAAGAAATATTCAGATCCCAAAGTTAAAAAAAAAGAGAGCGAGAAAAATCTTAGTTTAACTATTCATCAGCCTGGCTATGTTGTCTGTAAACTAGTTACGCAAATTCTCCCAATACATTTTAAGTAGATCTAGTAGTTATGTGCCATCTTACGTCGTAGTGTTTTTGTCCTACATAGCGACACATAATTTGCCTTTTCTTAAAGTATACCACAGTTTTTAGACAAGGCACACCATTGGGACTTTTGAATATCTATTTTTTTAGGGCACTGAATGGGTAAAAGCACATGAAAGAATGACAAATAACATGTAATATTTACTTCATTTGTGTTGTCTTCTATTTGTTTCCTCAGCAAGGCATCCTCCCCGAGTTCTTCCTCCTCCTCCTCCCCTCCATGTAACGCTTCCCCGTTGGCATTCATAGTTCGTCCTCCTCGATTAGTATATTAACCAGAACACCAAATTCAAGTTGTTTGAGAAAACTGTTGTCTGTTTTCACGAGAGTTCAATAGGTATGTTTTTTTTTTCTGGTAGCGTCAAGCAAAATATCTCAAAGCTAAACAGTAGCTATAACACTGTGTGTCAACATGCTACAGCATCACCACACCGCCACACGCGTGCTGACATCACCTGGATTTGGTAGCGCCAATACGACACAAGTTCTTGTTTTTATCACACCACAATCTAAATAAAATGTCCTCCATTTATATGCATAGCTGACATCCATTTGAAAAATAAGAATGGATTGAACAAACTTGTTGACTAAATAACTTAGAACACTCTATTTTAATAGTTCTAACTGCTACTCAAAACACGGGATAGCACTGTAACGCGTGATAGCTAGGAGCACGGTGTTTAATGAATAGCTTTTTTTTTTTAAAGGACCTTATCTCTGCTAGCAATCTGAAACCGCGCAATCTCTCTCAAAAACAATTCTCTTTTTATTCCTACTCATTAACGCTTCTAGATTACCAAATGACTGAAATAAGGCTTGTTGTTTTTTTATCATTGGTCTGTTATTCTCTCTAATTTACTCCGCTATTTTCGTTTCAAATCGTCCACTAGATCGCTCTAGACCTACATGCATTTCTTCGGTTTATCACGTCCATGACGTTGGGTTGTATAGCTATTTAGCTCTTAAGGGAAGGAGATCCTGTATACGAAGAGCGGAGGTACAGAGAGGACATTAGATTTTATAGAGATGCTTAAGTCGCTCTCATTTTTCTTTCATACACTGAATGTTTAAAAGACTATCGTTATAATCAGTGGCGTAGCGAGGTCGGGTGTCGCCCGATGCGGCACTTAATGGATGGTGTCACCCTCCAGAGGCGTAACGACCCTTCCCGGGGACAAATTTTCGATTTGCACCCCCCCCCCTCAAGTTTTCGATTTGCACCCCCCCCCCTCAACCTTTCGATTTGCACCCCCCTCAAGTTTTTCTCTATATATTTTGCTATTTTTTGCCTTGGTGTCACCCCCCTCTAAATGGTGTCACCCGGTGCGGTCCGCACACCCCGCCCCCCCCCCCTCGCTACGCCTCTGGTTATAATTAAACTTACGTCAATTTATGTTAAGAAATACAACTGAATGACTAATAATATTGGCTCTAATTTATTTACCCAAATGACTCATCATAGCAACTACAAAAAACGTACTCAAAAAGACAGTATGAATGTCAATGATATCTGATTCTTGCTTAAGAATAATAAGAGGTGACAAAAAATGAGATTAGGCACCAAATATTTTTAGACGGCACCCGGCTTTGAGAAAATCTGCGAATCATAAAGTGAGCTGCTAACAGTGTAAACGACTAGCGGAAGCTGCTCACCAAGGTGGTCTGTGACAACAACCACACAGTAACCACAAGGTGAAATCAATACGGTGGGAGAAAATAACCAAAGACGCGGGATTAATGGTATGTTGTTTTTTTTTTAAAACACATCGACTGCCCCGTCCATTTTAAGGTAAATTAACGTTGGTTACCATCTCTGGCCGACTAACTGCGTCATTTCTATTCACGGGGGGGGAGGGGGGAGAACAATAGCGTGGTTTAATGAATCATTGAAAACCGTGCTTAGCATAATGGCGTTTAGCATAAAGCCTACCAACGGTTGTGTTTTTGGATAAAACCTACCAACCAGTGTCTTGAACTAGACTAAAACCTAACGTGTCTAACGTAGATAAAACCTACCACCTAACGTGTTCTACTAAACTAAGTCCCTAACCAGCCATGTTTAACCACAGACTTTGATAGTTATCGTGGCGAGTAATCCTTAACTAAGTCTGACGGATACCTAACCATACAGCACACGTCCTGCCAACACTACGCTCATTAATTATTGACAGAGAATGGAATTGAATAAGAGCCTGTTTCAGACAGTCGCACTCCTGGCCTTTCGGAAGACCCAGCATGTAAGAGACCCCCCCCTCCCCCTTTCAAGATAGGCCGATAAACGTCCCACCATACAACGATACTACCATCCGCGCCCCATTTTAAAAAACAAATCGATTCGAAGCTCATTTTATTTTTATTTTTTTTCTATTATCCAAGCACATTTCACTCATTGAATTCCGTGAATGCTTAGCCATAATAGAGTGTCATTTAGTTACACATTGCCAACACAAAATAGAATGGAACATCCGTTTAATGTACACAAAAACGAAAGCACTTTTCCCTTAGATTGTATTAGAATGGAACAAACATTCAAGTAAACAATGCCGGGCGTGTTTGCCAAGTTAATGGTTTTTGAGCCTTGTGCTCTTATCGCGTGTATCCCAACAAACACAAAATGGAATAATTGCAAGTAACTAGCACGAATACTTCACAGTGACCTTGATACAGTTAGCTCTAAATTATGACATCCACATACAAAAAAAAGGAAGATACTCAAAAAAAGCAAACACCCCCGTCCTAGAAAAAAGGACGTAATTCCAGATATTATTTACTGAAAACGCGTCATATCCAGATTCCGCAGAAAGAATTCCAGCTCACGATATTATTCACTGCTAGAGTCACAACCGGAAATGTACCAACCTGCCAACCATCAGAAAACTAGGGACACACGCACAAAATATTTATTTGGTTAAAAAATGTCGCTGAATATTTCATGCTTGTCCTTGTGGCTTGCCTTGAGTATCTATCATAAACCATGAACGAGACCCGTCGGCCAATGCATTGTTGTCTGATTGAGAAAAATCAATACGTGACGCTTGTATATGTTACAATTGATTCCACGAGCGGTGCCAATGAAATCATTCTGCTCACATACGACGTGGGCGATCCCGGGCACCATGGTCGACGCCAGCTCACCAACAGCGGCCCATGCTGAGCCGAGCAGTTGTCTACGGGAGTGGGACAGAACTGAAAATGATAGCGGTAAGCTACAAAGGAAGCGGCGACAAGCGCTGCGCGTGGCTCATGTGGTCATTACCCGAGTCCGTCTCGTCCCCAGATCTCGACGTTACAACCACGTATCTCCGTGCTCCATACAACACCTAGACTACTCTGGTTGGTAACGATACACACAGCGAAGTGTGGGCTACAGAATAAGTATATAAGTGATGTAGCTGATATTCCACTGGTATGTACGTGCTGCAGTTGTTCTACTGAATAAGTATATAAATACGGTAGTCAGCACTCCACGGAACAAATATTTCGTCCTGTGGTGTCAGCCTACGCTCGCTGTGTCAGTGCCAGCAGTCATGTCTGCCACATGTTTACGTCCTGGAATCAACTCTTGACGGTGAGTTTCTTGGTACGTTTGCGCGCTCAAGTTTCACACATGGTGGGACGACGCGCGACGAGCAGAGCGCGGGCATTGTTAGCGGTGGATGTAATGAGGCGCCAAGCAAGTCAGGTACCCAGGACTCCTTGCATGCGGCTTCATAAGGGCGGTGTTGGGGATGGACAAGAAACAAAATGCAATTAGGGAGTTCAGTAGAATTATGAGCAGCAAGTTTCATATAACATAGCCGTAGCTCTACAATTCTGCTCGTGTTGTGATAGAAATACACGTGATGTGATTACAGTGTCTCAAAGACAGTGAGATTAATTTGCTTTCAAGATTTTTTTTTTTTGGCTTTTTCCTTTTAAAAAAAAATGTTACCGAGACTGAAAAGGCGCAACAAGGAATTCCATATAATCTGATGGGTAAGCTAAATTATTTTTTTGGTTTTTTCTTCTTTGAAGATTAATTATTTAACATATTTTAATTATATTGGTTTGTTTTACCGCATGCTGTATACTTTTAACTTAATTCATAATGCTTTGAGATTTTAAAAATAATTTCATTGCATATTTTCAACTAGATGCTTTAAGTTATGTGAGCATCAGGACGCATGTTGAGAAAAGTGGCTACAAAAAAGGGAAGATCAAAATTAAATAATTACACTTTACACGACTGCACACATTGGCCGTGTTAAATAAAGTGTTCGGTCTGGGTTATTTCCCTTTACCTACGAGACAGGATTGCGTCCATGCCATGATGATTAACTACAATCGCCCAATCACAGGGATGCCGCAAGCTTTGTCAGACAGATAAAAGGGAAATCAGTGGCCATCCTAGTTAATGTAGTTACTGGAGCTTGTTGTAACATTTAACCAGTGGAGCTTGCCAACAATAAATAAAGGACTGCAGTTGGTTATAAACTGCGGATATAGGTGAGGGGTGTGGGTGGAAAAGTGACCATTGACAAATTAGTTCACGTCACAACTCACAAGAAATTTCCTCGTCAAAAATTGAGTATTTTAGGCGTTTCTGGTGGACTGTCCTTATATAAGTAAAGTTTCAAGGACCCCCCCCCCCCCCACGGGTCATAAATGGAATATGTGGTATATCCCTCAAAAGCCCTTAAACAACTCCACCAAAGTATTAATTATTCTCCCACTGAAATATCCGCCATAAAGTATACTGAACACTACAGCTGTGTAATCTCTGTAACGAATCTTATTAAATATTGAACGGCAACACACGACATACAAATATGTCCAAGTAAAAAAAAAAAACACATCTCCATTAGATAAAGAAATCGTGTACGCAAAAACTTGCAGGCACCGTTTGACAAAGTGGGGTGAGGCCAACGTCTGGATTCCAATTTGTTTCATTTCTTTGCACTCGGGTTCGCTAATATAACATATTCAAAATAAGATGTCGAATTTCCTAACTAGACAGAATAAAATGCTTCTTTCCTGATTAGACATAATAAGATTCTGTATTGCTTAGCTAGACATAGATCTTCTGAACAACGCGTTCCGACATGCTCTTTTAGAGTTCTAATTACTACCCGAGTTATAGTAGTTCTACAGAGCCGTTGCAGTATCTAGTCGCTACAGTTAAACGACCAATACATGACGCTGTAACGTGCTGTCAATCAAGTTTATTAACTAATTTCCAATTAGTGTCACTGGACGGATTTGATGTCAAATTTTAAGTGGAAATGTGAATATTTGCTCAGATTTGTTCTGTTATCCAACAGGTAATTTCCCTCCATCTTTTCCCTCATGAGACGAACGCCAAACAATGGTCAAACATCATGCGTAGTGCTCATCATAAACCTCTAACTAGGCGGCTAGTTGTGCAGGTAAGCCTTTGACGTTGCTCGTCTTTTGATAACATCGGTGTCATGTCAAAACAACAAGGCTCTGTCTTATTTTTCCCCAAGCGAATCTTATCTTTGATAAAATATATTTTCAAGGGATATTAAAGTACATAAAAGACTTCTACTAAAACGTTTTCTTCTAAAAGGAAGGTACAATAACATGATATAAGAATTCCACAAATCGGCCCTTCTCGTGTTAACTACACAACAACCCCTCGATGGCTTATAATATGTCGGCGAGTCGACCAAGTCCTAGGAGATTTGTTACGACTATGTGAACTACGGGCTGGCCAGTGCTAATCAATGTATCACATCAGGACTTAAAATAGTGGGAGAAAAAAAATGGATATCTAACGTTGCATCGAAGCCTTAGCAAGTCTACAGTGGATATAAACTTAATTATCGTCTTCTGCTCAGAGATTTAAAAAAAAAAAAAAAAACACTAATATATTTTGATAATATTCTCTGGCAAATTTTCTCGGGGTTTTTAAAAGAAAACAAGCTCCCCTACCCTCCCCCACACAACCCGTTTCTTATCTCTTTGATTTTCTATTACTGGTTCTAATTAATTCCCTTGAAATAGAGACGTTACAAGCTGGCTATGAGAAGGTATAAAACGGGAATGCAGGGGAAGACCATCATAATCTAGGGAGTTGTGCGCTGTCTTTGTGAAATTCCTGAGTATCGATCCTCTAGGATCTATAAACTGTATATCTATGAGTCATACATCTCTTGCGTTCTACCACGACAAAAACACAATTTAACACATATGGTGTTGTCGGGTCTCACTATCTGATAGATTAGTGATCGTGGTCTATCTTACTAATCTGAGCCACACCAAATCATTGTCATTATCTTCAACTAAATCTTAAGGGAGTTGAGTGTACATAGTACTACGTGTTAAAGAACAGATTCAATTCAGTTGTATTATGCAAATGGTAATTTAATTTTCATCATCCGAGGTCCCTATATTGAGTATGAGAATACAAGACAGATAACAAAACATACGACTTTACATTTAAATCCACTTTATGTCGTGTATATAAACTTAGATAAACATCTGGGTAAAATAGTTAAACAAGATGACACATAACAAAACTGTTTTTTTTTACATATAATAAAACTGTTTTTTTATCTAAAAATAATGTGCATCTTACAACAGATGTGAAAAGTGAAAGAAATAGTGTTAGCTCTAATTCAACAGGCAATTGTTTTTCTATATACTAACCACTATACCTCAGTTAATATTTTTATTACAAAAATACTCTTGACTTGGTATTTTTTGTAGGTAATTCAAGTTAAAGTAAGGTGCCCATTGAGACTTAATTTTACACTGGGCAGATAAAGAAGAATTTATTCCACCCCCCCTCCCCGCCAACATTTGCTTGGGATTATGTTGTGTTGTAAACACCATTGTTAGAACATGTCAAATTTGTCAAATATTCTTTAGACCTAGACTCAAGGACCGTCTATAGTCTATGCCCTTGAATTGAAGTTGTGACTTATGGGTTAGCAGTTATGTGCCCTGCCTCTTGACCATGTTTTTCTCTAATACTAGCTAGCCCCTTTTTAATTTACTTTGTAAGGCAGATAGACATTTTTATTGTTACTAGAAAACAAACCAATAGGATGCCAAGATTTAAGCAAGGGACACAACAAGGTAAATGCAACATACTTGTATGACAAACAGTAACTGCTCCAAACATTTCAGGCTGATCAACAGTTACAGTTTTTTTAATAATTCAGAAATATTGAAAACATGATTAAAATGGACTTTAAGTTTGTTTTTTAGTAAATAATTCAGAAATATAGAAAAATAATTAAAATGGACTTAAGGTTTGTTTTTTAGGGATATAAAATGTGTACATTAAAAAGCATGTTTAGAGTTAAGCTATTCATTTATATGCAGATACCTTGGTATCCAATTAATTTAAAGATAAAATGTATTTAAATGTAATATTAAACCCGAAATAATGTCAGGAAGACAGTGATTTTCACAGAAAAAGATTCCACTAGAAACTTGGTATATTATTAAATAGTTTAATTTTTTCATCTGACTTGCAACACTGCAGGATGTTGGTGTATTTTTAAACATTTTTTTAAAATATAAATTAACTTTACCTATTTATTTGTATAACTTACCTCATCAGTGATCAGATTAGCTTGCATCTGAAGCTCTTGTAATTCAGTTCGCATTTCAGTGTCTCCTTTCCCCTCCATTGTTTTGGTTTTTAAATAGTGAATGTACAAAAAGCAAAGTTAAGAGCTGTATCACAAGAGATTGCAGTCAAAATTATATTTCCCTTTCTTGCGATTGCCTGTAAAGAAAAACATTGTTGACTTATTTTAACACGTACATGAAATACATCAATATTGCATAAGTAATTTCCTGCAAAAGATTCAACAAGAAAATAAGATGCAAATTATACAAGGACAGATACAACCACGGGTTTTTTTTTACTGAAAAATTAATAGTGGGGCCTATATATGAGTTGGCTTAATAAATAATCAATAACAATTAATTAATTAATTATATTTTCTTTATAATAGGCAATTTGAAGTAATATAACTCTTAAATTTAGCTGGATGGTCTAAAAATATTTATGCTGTGTTTAGGCTTAGGAGTTTCTGCAAATTATATACAGCTTGGAATATAAAGTATTAAAATGTGCTGGTGCTTAGTCCTACATATTGTTTAGGAATAGAGATTTATTTAGATGAAATTAAATGTTTAAAACAATTATTGATAACTGACTTGATA